TTAAGCAATGAATGAATGAGTCAATGAACAGAAATGCTGAAAGAGATGCTGATTTGAACACTGGAAGGTGCTTGAGGGACACTCCAGTAAAAAGATATATATTGATCAGAGTGAAGTTAAAAGCTGTTGATGCAGCTTTGGTTGCTATCCTAATAGATACGAGCATTGGTATCCATGTAAGTAAATACAATGTTTAAAGGAATGAGTATGAGGAGAGAAGATCTAAGTAAGTTTTGCTGGGTAAACATCCAGGCACAATCCAGAGGAACAGCCACCAAAGAACACAGCTGGAGAGGGGATTCTGAAAGGAACAAAGTACAGACAATGAAATATTGTCCTAAAACATACCACCCAAGGCTAAAGATAGAGCAGTGAGTTCAGAAGCTACTCTACCTGAATAACTTCCTGTACACATGTAGAGAGAGGTCCGGTCTCAGTAAGTTAGGAAGCAAGGTGAAGGAAGAAGCACTTGTATACACTAATTTGTGATAACATGAAGGCATATTTAGGGGGAGATAAAATATAGTGATTCTTTTTTTTTTTCAAAGGAATGGGAAACATATTCATATTTGAAAATGCCTACCGGAGCCAGGCTGGCACAGTAAACAAATGAAATGGTCTTGGATAGAATGATAGGGGTGAGGAGGGACGACTGGATCAAATTAGTGTGTAAGCCCATCTACAGACAGCAGCTAACAGCTCAACCAGATTATTGCTCCAAAGAAATGAGAGCCTAATATTGTCAAAATTTCCCTTTTTTTTTTTCAAGAAAAAACAAAAAGCCGGATATGTGTGTGAAATTTCCTGAATTGGGTAAAAAACATATTCACCCTGTAGGGCACCACTTTACTCTCTCTGGTCTAAAAAAAAATCTGAGTTATCGAGAAGTACACAAATAAAAGCATGGCCAAGCAGAACTAAGAATGTGGCCAACATTACACGGTATAAGCAGGGAGCAATATGTTGTGCCATTATAATGCAGAAGTGATTAATAAGGGTTGAGGACTGGTTCAGCAAATGATAGAGCACCAGGGACCAAAGGAAACAGCACATAGACATGAAGCATAAAAGAGAAAGCCCATCCAAGGAAGAAAGGGAAGATTTTAGGAAGAGAAAGAAGAGTCTGAATGAATGGAAGTCCATCTTAAAATAAGTATAACAGTTAAATGTTGGAAACAACAGACATTTCACTGAAAAGTGACCATCTTAGACTAAAGGAAATGTGGAATTTTGATTATGAAAATTATATTTATTCATTTATTTTATTCAAAATGTGAACAGTAAAGACACTTTCACAAGATCTTTTAATCTGACATTATTTTAAGAATGGATAACAGTTATCATAAATAGTATTAATTATATGAGGCAGATAATAAAAAGGGAATATTTTTGCCTTGAAAATACCCCACTAGTGAGGGTAAGAAGGAAGCACCCTCTCTAGTCCCATTCTGTTCTTCATCCTTTTATTGAGTTTGCCAAAAATACCTGGAGCCAGTAGAGACAGAAGAGAGACATCTGGCCACTTAAAACTGTCTGGAACAATGCCATATACACACGTGCTAAGGAACAGACAGCAGGTCAATAAATTAATAATCACCACACCAGACCACTCTGGTCTGCACTGAAAACTGACCTAAGTGATAAAACATTTCAGTTTCCTTTCATATGCAAGAACTTCAGCTGTCCTTCAATTAGATTCAAACATATTCTAGATAGGTAAGTAGCATTATTCAGTCATTCAAATGATAATCATTTAGCAATTACTATATGAAAAGTGCTGTTCAAAGCACAATGGTAAATATAAAAAATTAATCAGTCATAAATAATGTCATGAAGAAGCATATGCCAAATAGAGGAGATAACAGAAGATACATGCATAAACAACTACAAAAAAAGTTAAAATCTAAAGAGATATGCGTGAATAATTATAAATGTCAAGGAGAAGGAGATGAATAGAAAAAAGATTACACCATCCAAGGATTCCTGTTCAAGATAAAAAACAAATTGTCAGAGTTCAGACTTCCAGTTTCCTATCCTAACAAGGCATTCCTATCATCACACAGAGCACAATCTTTTACTCAACAGGGGAAAATTGACATCATACACAGAAAACTCACACCTGGTCTTGCAGATTGTTAAACAAATAAAAGTTAGGACACATACATATGATCTCCAAAAAGACCCTTGGCTTCAAGGCATGACAGTAGGGACAGCAGGTTCAAAAAGGAGTTTATGGTTGAATGAATTAAATAGCCATCTTCACTTGTGCTTCTAAACCAGGCATAGGACCCAATACCACTGCCCCACCCCCTCATTCCTTAACTCAGGTGCCTCTATCCTTCTCTTATATTTAGCTACTTTGATCTTCATCTCCCACAAAATACTGTTAACTCCTTGAGAACAATGATCAAACGATCTTCTGCCCATTGTCTACTTGTTGAATTACCTCTATCCAGCCTAAATAACATACATTCCGATTAAAATTCTCTAAAGGACCTATTTAACAAGTCAATTGCAGTCACTAACCAAACCTATAATAAAACCTCGACTATCTGTCCAAAAGTAGAGGCCTACAGCCATCTAATGCCATAGACTATGCAAAAATATTTCTTTTAACTTTGAATTGTGTTCTCATGTCTATATTTGACTATGGTTATATTACAGCTTCCCAATCATAGAAGTAGTATATATCTAATGAATTATCAGAAGCAGTTGTTCCAATAACAAAATTACCCAATTTATTGAATGACTGATTACTTTATGATTTAAAAAAAAGTGACTCAGGTTTCTGAAAGATCTAGTAGGAGATTAAGTTAGAGCATCACAACGGTCCAAGTAGAAACACTACGTTTTCTCTACCAAAATACAGACTGGGAATACAAAGTGTTCATTAGCTCCTTCGGCCAATCAGATAATCCATCCTGGTGTGGATTTTACAAACAGCTCTAGCTGCTTCTTATTTCTCTCCAATTAGCTAAACACTAAAATTCACACAGGAAAACGAAAATAAGAGGATCCTCTGAGTAGAAGGATCTTTTTCAGGAAAATCTATGATACTATAAAGATTTGCTCAGGATCAGAATATATAAATATATACAGTTATCAGACATGATTTCAAATATTTAAAAGTATTAGAAATTTAATATGAATTCCAATAAAATAAAGTACATATTTAGTTAGGCTAGGTTAAATTTATTTAGACTATACTCTAAAACTGATTTTCTAAGGTGTCAATAAATCCAAATAGCTTATGAAATGACTTACATGAAATGCAAATTCAGCTCTTCAACTAGTGATAGAAAAAGCATTACGTCAAGAGTTATTTGTGTACAGAGGCTTGAAGTCTCTTAAGAAGTAAAGTTTTATATCAAAGCCTACATTATTGATTTCATATGGAAATAGTGAGTCCATGTTAAACATTGTCCATCAAACCTGGCATCTCATATTTGTGCTAGCAGATTTCCTCATTGGTTTATGAATGATATAATAGTTTTAACCCAGACTTTGCTAACGGCAAAAGATAACAGATTTGATTGGATGGCACTTATACATTAAAAGGTCTACAAGAATATCACACTTCTCAAAGATACAACCCTTTGGCTGTATTTCATCAACCCCTCACCTGTTGGAACTGTGTGCCTCTATTCATAATGATTATTCCAGACTAACCACTGATCACGTATATGGGTAATCTGAAAACTACACTCAAACCACAACTGTGACAAACACCCATTCTCCACAAACTTCAAACCTATTCCTCTTCCCGTAAGTCCTCCAAAGGATGTCTATGATTACAAACCTGTACACATACACACACCTTTCATAGCCCAGCTCTGCCCTTTACTAGCCTGTAACCTTGGACAACTTACTTAGGGTGTGCCTCAGTTTCTTTATCTATGAAGTGGGACTAATAACTGTATCTACCTCACAGGGCTGTTATGAAGATTAAACGATTTAATACTGGTATAGCACTTAAACAACGACTCACACAAAGTGCTTGCTACTATTATTATTTTCAATAGATTTCATACCATTAGATCTGAGGACATCAAAAGAACAAAATCACTTTCACAGCAATTCAAAGCCTGATCAAATGACTCGGGACACACACACGCACACTAACCTTCAGTGCAGAGTATACCTGTCTTTGGGAAACAAACTTTTGCCAGTTGAGAACTACTTATTGTGTAGGTGATAAAAGCATATGACAAAATGACTAAGGCAGCAGGGAGGCAATAACAGAATAACTATTTGCCTCCTTCTTTTACAAGGAGTAGAGGAGTGATATGCAAAATATTTTCAAGTAATCATTTTTTTAAAACACATTTGGATCTGGAACCACTCTGAAAAACAACTTAAAATTGTTTTTTTGTATCACTCACTAAAAGTATTAAAAATGACGACAAATTCCATTATTTTCTAAAGATCACATATTTCATCAGTCAACTTTTTATTTACTTGCAAAACATATTAGCGAATTTTCTTCAGATTCTCAATGGTCTCTTTCAAAGAGAACTTTTCTTATTTAAGGAATAGTACTGTAAACAAAGAAGATGGTAGATTCTATGCTGAGAATTCCTCTAAACTCAGGAGCAGGTATAGTTTGCCCTTCCTAAAAATGCAGCCCAGTTTCCAAGCAGCTATACGTTCTTCACTACAAGTAGCTAAATGTTCTTCACTACATAAGAACAGATATCCCTTACCATTTGTAATATTAGAAAAGCAAATATTTGGTATATATTTGAAAAACAATATTTCTACAGTGCTTCAAATTCTGTTATAGACATTTTTAATCCATATCCTGTGCAAACAGAGCTTAAATTTTGTTTCCTTCAATATTCAAATAAGCATGTTCACTCACAACCACAGATTGTCCCCAAATTTACAGCAGAAGTACAGGTACTCCACAAAGTTTTTTAATTAAAAAAAAACTAGAATAATCTAAAAAATTTAATTTTCATTTTTGCATAGAAACTAGAACACCATGTCATTCTTGTTACCTTTTAAATGCTTCAGCTGGGTTCCTCTCACATTCCCCGGGCTGTAGGAGGCTCTGGATGGCTGGGTCCCTCAGCTTGTCCTCATATCCTTGGAGTAGCCCACTGTGGCAAATCTGGGCAACAAGACCTCTAACAAACCCTCCAACACACAACGTGTCAGAGTCCTGGGCTTTGCAGAAATGAAAGGCCAAGGCCTGGCGATGTAAACCTCTCTGCAAGCCTGTAGGTGAACTTGGCCACAAGAGCTCAGTACATAGGGCTGTCTTGCCACTGCCAGGCCCTCCTACTAACAACACACCCCAGGCAGTGCCTTTTCCAGAGACAACACTAGCATTGCTCCCAGAATTCACTACGAGGGGTGGTGTGTGGACAGTGCTGTTGCAGCAGTTAGTTTTCTCCTGGAGGCAATGCTGAAGCTTGTGGAAAACCCACTCCCTACAGTAAAACTGCTTCCCCTGAAGTAAACTCGTTTGAGCCATTTTGCAGACTTTCTCTTCCCAAGGATTAGTCATAATAGGTTTCTTATCTTCAACATTTGCTAACATCAGAATACATCAACACAGGTGTTTACATCCACTAGGACATAACTGGCATAGTCAGTTGACTTTGAATGACAGAGTAACCAGTTACAGCAAAATTCAACAGCCAGAGTCCATTTGTCAATAGAATGTGCATGACTTTACTTGGCTCTCTATTCTTGATTATCAGCAGAGAATATGTTAGTTTAATTGTTGAACTGGTGAACAAGTGCCTGGTTCCCAAGCTCAGCAGCACTTTTTCTATGTCTTGATGGGTCACATGGCTCCATGGTTACAAGCGGGTTTACTTGATTGTAGATCCTTCAAGTATGCAGATGAGACAATACATCTGGAAAACGAAAGAGAAAGCCCAATCTTTCCATTTGTACAAAATGCTTCTCCAGATTCAAACTGTTAATTCTGTATCTGAGAACTAGATCAGAAAAGGTGTCCATTATAGTAAATGTCATCAGAGATTATATTTATACAGTAGGTAGGTAGCTCTATGCTTCTTGTTGAAGGATAGCCCCTCAAACTACCAGATCCTGCCACTTTCAGGCACAGGGACAACTGCCAGGGACGCAACTGTGTAGATTGTGGTCTCTTATGTGACAGGCCACTGTTCACACCTCTTATTTCAAAGCATTCATAAAATGTATTTTTCAAGACAGATGCTTAATGAACCTGTTCACAGGTTCCTCTTATAAGGTGTCCAGGTAATCAACAATTTCCACAAGTAACTGAAATAAAACAAAAATATTTTTGTGCAAAAAATATATGTTAAAAGCTTCCTTATCAAAGGATACAATTTACCAGTTAATCCCCAAAATCCATATTTTCATTTTTTGGCACTTTCAAAAAGTTGGACAATTACCCTAAAATAATGATTGCATTTTTCTTTCTGTATTTTTCTTCCACTACGGTCACGCTTCCCAAAGAGCTACATTTTAATCGTTACCCTAGATTTGTAAAAGGGTTGAAGAGGGGAGGAAAAAGACAACGTGCACCTAGAGTAACATCCTTAAGCCTAGCCAAAAAGATCGTTCCACTAGCTTGGTTAGAACGGCACCAGCGAAGGAAGCTCTATTAACTTGCACAGTCCAGCCAGTCAAGGACTCTGTTTACTCCACTAGCCACACTTCTTTGTTGATAGTTTGCAAAATGACTCCCAGGGAGGAGGCTGGAGGGCAAAGGGTTAAAAAAAAAAAGAGGGGCGGAGGGGGATGATCTCACACGCATGATAAATCCAAACACAGGTACAACGTGAATCTTTCCTTGCTCGGTGCCAAAGATGAGGGTTTGGGATGGGGGTGAGGAGTGCACGCGACTCCTGCGGACGGAGAGGAGGCGGCCGGGGAGAACTCCCGGGGCAGAAAGGCAGAAGGAGTGGAGTGCTCCAGCGCCGGTGGGTGTTTGCCTACAGTTCCGGCCGCTGGTTTCGGCTGATAGACAAAAGGAATTCCGGGATTCCCGGCGACAGAGCCACCTCCGTTTCAGCAGCCCCACCGAGCCACAGGGGGCCACCTCGGAGCTGGGGAGCGGGGAGGGGGCCCCCAGACCGAGGTGCAGCCTCCTCCGGGAGGTCTTCCCTCGCAGAGGCTGGGAAATCCTCGGCAGCCCGCCCCGCCCTGAGATTGGGGTGTGTCTTTCGAAGGGGGAGGGGTGCCCCACGTCCTTGCCAATCCCTGCCGATGGGTCGCCTCCGAATCCGCGTCCCGCTCTGCTCCGCTCTGCG